TGCAAGGCATCCCATATAACAGTACCGGACAGGCCATAGTTGAGAGAGCAAACCAGACCATGAAAGCCAAGATAGAAGTGTTGGCAAAAGCAGAGGGCTTTGCCAATGCCATTCCCCCAGGAGATCAGGCACGTATGCTGGCAACCGCCTTGCTGGCACTGAATCAATTCCCTAGGGGAGATGAAACAAACAGTCCCGTTCAAAAACACTGGGTCACTCGAACGCTAGAAGAGGGCCCACAGGTGGTAATCAGAAACGAGCTAGGCGAGTGGGAACGGGGTTGGAGGCTGATGCTCACGGGGCGAGGGTACGCAGCGGTCAAAAAGGACGGCAAAATCAGGTGGTGTCCACTTAAGTCGATTAAACCGGACCTTCATAGCGAGCAGAATGAGACTGACGAGAATTGCGAGTATTTGTTTACAGGACCTGCTCGTGGGACGCCCTCGTGATGCGTACTTCCCGGTTCCGGACGAAAGCGACAGACCACCAAGCCGCCAGGCAGCACCCGAGAGACCCGCACGGGTGAGACCCAAGCACCAAGGGAGTTTCTGTGGGATTTTGCTGTTGGGGCTAGTTGCCAGAGGGCAAGCCGGCCCAGACCACTACCCCCATCAGCCCTTCAGGCGGGTCATGCGACACCTTAGTAGGGGCAAAGCGCTCAGACAAATCACCACACCGAACACCCCATCCTTCGTGCTCCGCATCACCGACCTGTTTCCAGGACGGCCAAAGGTACACCCCTATTCCCCACACGTCACACACTCGTACCTATCCTACTGGTGCCCAGCTTCAAACCCTGGGAAAAGCTACTGCGATCACCCAGGGTGGGGACACTGTGGGCACTGGGGCTGCGAAACCATAGTTACAGATGCCAGGCCATCGGGGCCTGGGTGGGATCCACAAGAGCCAGACAAATTCTTACAGTTCACCAGGGCACCCATCGGTTGCAAAGAACCCCTCTTCTCTCACAGGAACTTCCATCGAAACCAGCATAAAATCCCTAGATTTCGGGTATGCACCGATTACAACAGGACGGTCTTGCAGCCAGATCACCCTAGCTGGGCCACAGGACGGTAGTCCTTCAAGGGTCAAAAGAGAGGGAGAACGTGCAAATTATCAGGCTCCAACCGTCAGCACCCCGAGCAGTCGGACCCAACAAAGCGATTAAAAGCGTGCCGAAAGGGAGAAACATAACCTACCCCAAAACCTTACCCACAGGGGTCAGCAAAGTCCCGACCGGTCAAGCGGAGACCTTTCAGAGGAGCCGCTTAACCGAGCCAGACTCAGACCCAATCCTTCGCATGTTAGAAGCTACCTTTGTATCCCCGAACGAATCCAACCCTAACCTAACCGAATCCTGCAGGCTTTGTTATGATGTCAAACCCCCCTTTTTCGAAGGAGTCGCTTTAAACACTCCCTTCAGTTATTCCTCAGCCAACGCCCCTCACCAGTGCAGATGGGACACCCCTCGCAAGGGAATCACCCGGAGTCAAGTCACAGGCCGAGGCAGACGCTTTGGCAATGCAACCCTAGCTAAGCGGGGAGGCAACATCTGCACCAAAATCGTCAAGCCTAACAGGAAAAACAATAAATGGGCAGTCCCATCCGCATCTGGGAGGTGGGTTTGCCAGCGATCCGGAGCGAGTCCTTGTGAGTTCCTTGCCAAATTCAATGACTCTAACGACTTCTGTGTCCAAGTTCAGATTGTTCCTAGGGTCCTGTACCACTCAGACGAAGAAGTGCACCATCTTCTTGAGGGACCCAGCCAGATCCACAAAAGAGAAATATAGACAGGTTTCTAACAGTCACCTTCGGACCATGCCTGCTGAACAAGCTGGTCTCGTTCGTTCACACCCGCCTGGAACGGACCAACATCATGTACCTAGGCCGACGACAATTGCTGTGAAATCAACCAGAGAAATCAACCAGAGAATTCAACCAGGGAACACCGTCAGTCACAAGATCCTCCGAACTTGTCTGGCAAAAGCTTACTCAAGTTTCCCAAGACTCCTTTCCCTTGTCCAGTTACAACCTCATACCTCACTTCAGTACCTATGTATACGACTACCTCATTCATTTGTGAAAAGGGGGGGGGAGATGTGGTAGACAGGGAGAGGCGCTGCGGAAGATCTCGCGATGTCACGGAAAGCCAGGACCCTCAGATCCCCTTAGATAAGACCATCTGCTTCCCATAGATAAGAAACTAACATAGGAATGTAACCCTCCTAACCAAATTCCAGTAACTTTCCATCCCCTACCCAGTAACAGTCCACCTCTTACTAACCATAGATGGTAAAGACAGACCCACATTGACGTAGAGACCCCTTAGACTATAAAAACCCAAGAGATGAGACAATAAACGCCTTTTGACCGTCCATCACATTGATGTCTGCGTGTGTCATTGGCCCGAGTGGCCCTAGTGAGAGGGCTGCCGTGCCGTTTCCTCAGAACCAGGTCGCCTGCCTTGCTTCAGAAGGCAACACAGTACCCTGAGTGGAAAGATTTTCAAACCCCAGATGTTCTGGGGAAGGAGAGAAATCTGTGAAGGAGTAAAGCTGAGAGAGAAGGAGTCAGCTGAAAAGCAAGCAAGAGGGGAACTTGCATTGTGATAGGACAGCAAGGAAAAAGAAGGCTAGTGCAGCTCCATCAGGATTACTGGGCAGGCTTCTGGGCGCCTCACTGCTAAAATGTTCTTAACAGCTTGGAGGGAGTGTAGAAAGCAGCAATAAAAGTGATTTAAGAGGCTGGAGCAAAACAATTCAGGAAAGAGGAAAGCAAGAAATGTGTTCCATTTCAGCTACACGCTTCTCGGTATTTAAAGTTTCTTAAGGGAAGCAGGAGTTATGGGTGGATTTTTTGTTAAGTGAAAAGACAACAAACTATGCAATGTGGAGAAGGAAATGCAAAGGACAAAATTACACCAATAGTGAGCAAAACTACCTTTGAGATCCCAGCCGTGGGGATGGCTGTCAGTGCCATATCCCTGGTGTCAGGCAGGTGCCTGGTGTGAGGGAGAGCTGCCTGCAGGCTCCTGTGACAATGGCCCTGATGGGTGACTAGGGTGACAAACTCCCAGGCACAAACCTGAGTTAAGTGGCTGAAAACTAGGTTGGGGTGAATCTAGGCCAGTGTTTTTTATCATTTTGCTGAGGATGGGCAAGTCCAGGGTTAATCATTAAAATGCCTTCTGCAAGGCCCAGCAGCTGAAAAATGGGTCAGAACAACGCCCCGGTAACCATGCCAGTGCCACGAGCCTTGGCAGCAATTATAAAATCATTCCTGTGTGCCTGGGCTGTGTCATCCACCCCTGAACTACCAGATGCTGGAGAGCAGCTCCCAAAAGATTTTGGGGGAGTGAGGATGAGAGGTAACAAAGCCCAAGCAGGAGCACATCCAAAGTACTCAGCAGGGGCTGGTTCAGAGGCTCGTGTGGTGTCTGAACACAGGGCCATGTTCTAGGACAGCAGTGCACCCCCACCTCTCTCTTGCGTGACTGCCTATCTAGTTCTTCTTTCCTTCCTCGGCATGTGCTTCTCCTTTAATTGGCTTTATGGGAATTTCTTCAGTCAGCAACTCTAGCAAGACAAGGCTGACTTCTGCTGTTTGCAAAGTGTTTACCTAGAATGATTCCAGCCACAGAAATGTGAAGGATGAGACACCTACGCGTGCACATTAACCTCTCTTTCTGTGGCTTGATTTGATTTTAATTGATTTGATGTCTTCAAAAATTTGTTGGGTGCTGGGCCATTTCCAAAAAAATGTTTGTATAGTTCTTGCCAGCAGAAATTGCAATTCTGCTTATCTCAGGCAGTACAGGCACTTCACACATGAGTGGTGCTATGGGACTCTGAGTATATAGTAAACGTTATCTAAATGAAAATAATCTCCTGCTCTGTCATCCCAGATCAGAAAACATTTTCTGCTGTCTCAAACCTTCCCCTTGCACATCAAAGAGGGAGGGAGAAGCCCTGGCAGGGTGTTTGGGGCCAGTGGGTGCCTGGGGAGCTGCACAGGGGCCTGGCAGGGCTGGCTGTGCACCCCAGGAGGAGAACACTCAGTTGGCATCACAGCCCAAAGCCCACTGAGGGTGCTGGGAAGCACAGGAGAGGTTGAAGTCCCTGCAAGAGCACCTGTAGAAGCCTTGCCAGGTGAGCTCCCTGCCAGCTGGGAGGGAGAGCAGCAGTGAGAGGGGAGCTGCAGCAGTGCCTGGGCTCTGCTGACACAGCCAGCAGCACAGCTGGGCGTTAGTGGGTCACACACCAGCATCTGCAGATCAGTCTGCTCTGAGTGCTGCAGGAGCAGAGGGGCTGCATGAGAGTCAGAGCTTAATGCTGGAGAGAGTCGCTCTTTAATGTAAGGAGCTGATATTTTAAGATAGTTTTCCAAGCTTGTTCATTTCACCTGTTTTTTTAGCATGTGTTAAACTGTTCCCATTCCTGGTGCAAGCCGACTCAGAGGCTCACTCTTTTGGGCAGCTTTTGCTTGTGGAAAATTTCTGGTTTCTTTTGTTTGGCACCCAGAACAGCAGGTCCCCACCATTCCCCTGTCCCTGAGGGACACTCTTGTCTCTAACTGGTGTAGCATTGGAGCAGCTGATGGGCTTTCTCTTAAGACTCCTGGGGAGCAGAGACATTATTATCCTCTTCCACATGCTGCAGAGCCCGCAGGTGAATCAGGGCCTGAGCCCTTTGCTGGAGCAATTCTCCACAGCTTTGCACTAACTACTCCTATGTGCCTCTCTGACATGAGAACACCCAAAATTCTGATTGCACACAACCTCTATACTACACTTGAGCTAGAGCCTGAATCTTTTCAAGCAACACCTGGTTTTTTTTTAATTTGCAAATAAGTAAAAGGGTAGAATATTTAGGGCTATAAACCATTTCACACCATTCTCAGCTCTTCTGTACAGCGTTAACAATGAAGAAAAAGCATAAAGGCCCCTTGTTTCCATGTGCTTTCCCCATGCTGAAGATACCATGAAAGCAGGGGATACTCACTGGTGATCAAGGTTGTTGTTCTCTGGGCTTGGTGGGCTTCTGGTTGACAAAGCCTAGGACAGAAGACAAGACAGTTAAAATAATTTGAATTCAAGGAGGGTCATTCTCCACCTCTACTCTGCTCCTGTGAGACCCCACCTGCAGCACTGAATCCAGGTCTGATGTTCTCAGCACAGGAAGGACATGGACCTGTTGGAAGGAGTGCAGAGGGGGCCATGAAAATGATCAGAGACATGGAGCACCTTTCCTGTGAGGACAGGCTGAGGTAGTTGGGGTTGGTCAGCTTGGAGGAGAGAAGGCTCTGGGGAAACCTTATTGCAACCTTACACTACTTAAAGGAGGTCTATGAGAAACATGAAGAGGGGCTGCTTACAAGACCTGTAGTGACAGGACAAGGGATGATGGTTTTATACTGAAAGGGCAAATTTAGATTAGATCTTAGGAAGAAATTTTTACTGTGAGAGTTGTGAGGCACTGGAACAGGTGGCCCAGAAAAGCTGTGGATGCCCCATCCCTGGCAGTGTGCAAGGCCAGGCTGAATGGAGCTTTCAGAAATCTGGTCTAGTTAACAATGTCCTTGCCCATGATGGGGGGGTTGAAACTAGGTAATCTTCAAAGCTCCCTTTCAACCCAGACCATTATTTCTTTCTATGAAACCTATCTCTGTCTACAGTGGGCAACATGTCCTGGTTTAAACTCCCTGGTTTGGTTTAAACCTCCAAACAACCTCTGTGGAGACGATACAGGTACAAGAGACTCTCCTTTCCTAGCCCTGTTCTGCTGTTTCTGTTTCAGCACTCAGGACAGCTGGGTGGCTGCTTGCTACAGAATCAAAATCCCTGAACGCTGGCCTGTTAAACCTCACAGTTTTCCATGAATGCCACCGTGCCACCAGCTGCAGGTAACAGTATGAAAATACCTGCTAAGGGAGGAAGTCACAGCCATATCAACCCAATTTTCACCTGACAAAAATGTTTCCTGGAAAAATTATCCATCTGGGGTGAAACATCCATCTTCCCTATGTGGGAATCCCCAGGCTTTTAATGGGATACCTGGGGAGCAACCAAAGCCAAACCTAATGGTATTTAAAATGGGGGTAGGGATGGCACTGTTCGTCCCCAGCTGGGCCCGTATTAAAATAAACCCTCTGCAGCCAGGTACTACTGAGAATAATTTATCTATGATCTTCTTCTACCTTTTCACTGTATTCTCACAGGGAAAGGGAGTGGGACATGGCTTTGCATCTTGGCTTGTTATTGTTGTTTCTGAGGCGCAATCCTGAAGCTGGTGGGCCTCCTTCATACAAACTACCCTGAATCCCACAACAACACAAACAAGTTAAACAGGTTGCACCAAATCAGGGCCTTCCAGAAAACAGAAATGAAAAGTTGTTTTATCAGTGCAGAAAAGAAGAAAATATTTTCTGTATAGGAAAAAAGGGAAGCGTCTTCGTTTGAGTGATAGGTGTCTGCTAAGGAAGGCAGGAGCATCCCCTGGAATAGAAAATGTAAACCCCTTCTCTCAGAATCATTATAATTTTGAAATTAAGGGGCTCTCAGGCAAAAATATGAGAATAGGAATAACAGTTCTTTACTGGTGTGTATGATAAAGCAAACAAACAGCAGCTCTGGCACTAACACCACACAGACACAAACCCAGGCCCGGCCGCCTCAGCCGCGGCGCTTTCCCCTCGGTGCAATTCCGGGCACGGCCGGCGGGGGCGCTGCTGGCTCCCGGCGGGCAGGGCAGGTGCAGTGATTCCCCCGGGGCTGCAGGGGGCGCTGTGGCGCGGGCAGCACACAGCAATGGCGGCTGGGCCCAGAGTAGAAGGGACGGAGGAGAGGCTTTGCCTCACAAACCCCTGGGGTGGCCGATCCCGGTGCCCCAGCAGAACTCTGGAGAGCAGCAAGCAGGGCCAGCAGGATGTCTCAGCAGGCAGGGGATGCAGGGCTACAGTGCAGCAAAAGCTCAGAGCAGTGCCAAAGAGACAGCAGGGGTGGGATAGCGGCGGCCTGGCTCCCAGCAGGGCAGGGAGAGGTGAGCTCAGGATCCCGGGCACAAGAGCAGATGGGGACAGGTCCCTGCTTTAGAGAGGTAAGGGTAATAAGGTGCCAGTTCAGTGGCTAATATCACGAGCAGAGGCTCACCCCACAGCAGAAGGGGCAGCTCTGGGCTGGGCTCTGGCAGCAGCAGCAAATTCCCTTTCCAGGGCAGCAGCTCCTACTGTGCTCCTCGGAAGCCAAGAGATACAGCCAGCACCTTGCTGTGAGTAGACCAGCTGCCCATTCTTCTAAAAGGTTGCAGAGTTCACAGGTTGGGCCAGTTGCTGCCAGGGCGGAGTTCTAACTGTTTGTTATTGTAATCACCTGTTTCTTATTGTAATCACCTGTCATTTGTTATTGTAATCACCTGTCGTTCGTTAACTACTTGTCCTTGAGGGTTAAGAATTCCCCCTTTTGCCAAGTGACACGCTGCTGCTTCCTGGAAGATGGCAACCAGACGGTGAAGAGGAGGGGACATCCAGTTGGCATGCACATGACATCGGAGCTAGCATGCAATGGGAGAAACTCCTCACCAAACCTAGCCAAAACCCCCTAAAAACAACGAGCCAACACAAAATTGATAGATTGAGGTGATGTCTAGATGTGAGCAACAGAATCCAGTATCTGCTAAGGCCCTTTTTACCCCTCCCCCTAACCTAAAGATGTCGGCTAGACAGAGAACCTCGAATGTCAAATAAAAAGGCAGGGAATCTCCTGATGCTCCGGTGAGGTCAGAAGCAGCAGCTCTGCCCACAGACCAGTGGACAAAGCTGCACTCCTTCTCCTCCTCCAAGTCACTCCTGGGAGCAGCGGCGTGATCGTTTCAACCTGCCCCAGTCCCGTCCTTTAGTCCTTTACCTCCCCGGCCCTCCTCCCCTGAGCGTGGCCACTTTTTTTGTTTTTCTCAAGTACCCTGTTGTTAGTGTTTTGTAGCAACTTATGGGGAAAAAATTCCCTAAGTAAAAAGGAACAAAAGGAAGGAAACCTAACCGCCAGCAGGAGGCAAAGGAACCAGGGAGAGGTGTGGAAAAGCTTGCAATGCAGAGCCATTGCCTACTGCTCTGCTGTGTTTCTGCAGGGCTGGATGGGATCAAGTGATTCCTCAGTAAGATCATGTACATGCTCTCAGAATAGCTCAAACCTGTGCTGCCTCAAGGTCATGCACAGGACTGGTGCTGGAAAGTGTGGCCGCTATGGAGGGGCAATGCCCCACTACAGGCACTGCTGGTACAACAGTGATGGCTTCACACACAGTTCTGTGCCGATTAAAATCTGTTCATGTTGGTCAGGCTTGTGTGTGCCATCCCCCAGGTAGAAATGTCCACCTGAGTGTCTGCAGGTATTGCAGGACACCTGATTTTAATTTGCAAGGGTATTTTTCCACTACACTCCTTCCTCAGCTGCTTCTCATGGGGGATGGACAGGAGCTGAGGTTTAAACCCCATGGTCTCAGACACTGAGAGGCAGATAGAGAGGTGCTTGGTAGTGAACTGCTCAGTTCTTCCCTGCCTCTTGCAAGGGCTTTGTGCTGCTGTGGTCACCTCTGGCTCCCATGCTTCAGCAGGTGAGGAGAGCTGCAGCAAGGACACCTCTCTGATGGCTCTGGGTGAACATCTCTTCCAGGTGAGCCCTCAGTAGCTTCTGTTTCAGGAGCCAGGAAAGGTATCTGTTGTACACTGTGTTTCCCATCCTAGCTGCTTTTGTCAAAAAATTACAAAAGATGTTGCCAGTTTTTCATCGAGTTTTAGTGTAATACCTGTCAAAAGGCATTCCACATCCTTTCAGAAGAGTCCCTGCTCTTTGGCAGCACTTTGTTTTCTCTGGAAGAGGCTGAACTACTCTAAAAAGAGCTTCTGGGTCCAAGCAGAGACAAGGGTATGTGAGAAAGCTGACAGTGAGGTAAGACAGTTCTCTCCTGGTTATTTATGATTGTTTCTTGGCAATCTCCCACATGCAACAAGAGCAAGAAGCAGTGCCAGGAGAACAGCCTGCTGAGCTCTGATGGCTGACTTCTCCTGGGACTGCATCCCACAAGGCAGCTCCTCATCCATCATCACTGGACTACTGTTGAGGCCCGAGTTTCCTTCCACCAGGTGAAGAACATTATTCATCCTCAGCACCAAGGGAAATAGAGTTCTTAAGGAGTGCTTTGATTATGTTTTTCCCACAGTAAGAACCCAGCTTCCAATACTTCTGAGCAAAGGATGGGCTTGGATCATTCCAGGGAGGGGTTTGGATTGTACAGTAGGTTGCCTGTTTTTTCTTCCCTTGTGGCTGACTCCTCCATATTACGAGCTGTACGTGTTGTGTGGGTGGAAGACAGAATTAATTCGTCATCAGGATAGTGCAGCTCTGGTTAGCAAAATCTGCTTCTCTGTGCAAAACCTGCTCCCACCTTTTCCAAGGGATCTGTCAGCAGCAATACTTGTTGCCCAAGAGAATTTGGAACTGGCACACGTAGATGTCTACCAACATTTCATCCAGTGCATGAATCAAAAATGGTGGCAAGCGAAAACAAGAGGCACCTCCAGCCTCTGCCTTCTCCCTGCCGTGAGAGTCTCCACAGTTTGGGAGCTGCTCCCATTTCCTGCAGGCAAAGGCCACCTGGCTCGGGGTGCCCGGGTGACACCATGTGCCGGGCAGCAGGCAGGGAGCGGAGCACAGGCTGCCCGGGGCTGTGAGACACAATAAACACTGACCCCACCCAGCCGGCTGGGGAGCGCTGTAATGGGTGTCTTGCAAGTTCAGCAGATAATTAGTATTAGCCCTTTATGTGGGTTAGCATGATGTGCATGTCAGGACACTTTAATATTATGGGTTCCTATCCTACAGCTAAATAAGTAATTGCTGGCCTGGTTGGCCTGTGTCCTGGAAGAGTTAAATGAAGTCAGCTTCTCCTTTCTGCAGCTTGCAGTCATCTTTTTATTACTCATCCAGACCGTGGCGTGTCTCCTCATTTTCCACCTCATTCTCATCACAGGCATCCTCTGCTGACGTCTGCTGTGCCACAAAGCCCCACATCACCCCCTCCTCCAAGTTTAAAGGCTTGGATATTAAGCTCACCCAGCATGTATCAACATTTAATTTAATGTCATGACATGTGGGGTGGAATGGTTTGACAGTCATTGCTCACACAGCTCAGCCATC